AGAAAAAAAGATCGGCAGCGTACTTGAATTGCAGACAGCCATTGAACGACGGTGTTACCAAAACATTGCAACATTTGTCATAGCAAAAATGTTATATGTCACTATGACATTGTCCAATTTAGATCATTAAATACAGCACAGTAAATTTGCATTACATTGAAAATGACCTCTGATGACTGATTAGTGACAACCATGACGGATATGATATTCCAAGCCCATGCAATGACGTCATTCAGAGCACGAAACACGACAGCCGAGTCCTGCATGTAAATGGGTACAGGAATGGGTCCGTACTCTGCTTGTTGCGCTCACGACGGCCGGCTGCTGTTGCTACGGGCAACATCCGGGTAAGTGTGCCCAGCAACTGAGGTCACTGAAGAGACCACACCGCGGCCGGCAGCGCACTAATTCGCCCTGGGGCGGCACGCCGCTTCCAGTCTAATCATCAAAACGATAATGGCGCTGCTGGAGGGTTGACGCTGCGGTGAGCAGTTCTTGACTTTGTGGAAGGGGATACACACATGATTGTTTGTTTCAAGATATAACTGTTTCAAGAATAGAGTAACGTCGCAAGATGAATCATAACTAGGTTTAACCAGCATCGGTAGCCTCAAAGAACATTCAATTGCATTAGCAACAGAGTAATGTATCCTGCAGAATGAAGAATGTCAAAATCTGGCGGAAAAGTGACCGAAATCGAAATGAGTATTATGTGACAAATTAAATCTTCAGGAGAGTGATTCTAATGATGTCCCTCATCATAATGATAATGTCCCTCATCTTGACATCCCGCGTGAGCAAATTATTACGCCAGCCCTACACGAGGCAGCCAATGGCACGTCTGTCATATCGCCTAGACGTCAGCACGCTCGATGACGCCTGACGGATGACGGGCGAGCGCTGACGCCCCGACAGACAGGACCATTAGCCGGCGTCGCGCCGCCGACGGGCTGGGGACGGGTGATGTCGCTAGCTGGGGACGGTCACCGCCACCGCCGCCGCCGCGACGCTGTCAGGGCCAATAAAGGAACAGGGAGAAAAGAATGTCTGAATATTGCGATGAGAAAATGGAAGAATGTAGTCGAAAAGGCCAGATGAATTCAGATGTCATCAGATTCGAATAGGAAAATCGAGCAGCCCAATTGGGCTGCTCGATTTTCCTATTCGAATCTGATGATGACCCGTGGTCGAAATATTATTCTCTTTGTCTATTTCGCTTAAAACTTAACTAATATATGATGAGCATCAGGCTACATTTAAAAATATTTCTTATATACATACTAAAAAGGTTATCATGAGCTAAAACTGCAGCCAGTTATGCAATGTCAGAAAGGGTTAACCAAGGTCAGGAAGAATGCTTTGGGTACTGTGTACCGAGATAAACATAACTGACAAATCAATTCATACATGCTACTTTTTCAAACATAGCCTAACGCATTAAAACGTCGTCTGATTTACCCTGCCGCAGCATAGGCTGCTATTTTTATCGTTTAATTTTAATGTCAAGGAAAGCCACGAATAAGATGACTTGACGAAAAATGAAGTGAAATGCAGAACCAGCCAAAACATACAGCAATGAGCAAAGTGAGCAAGCAGAGATAATAATGTTGTTAATGCTGTTGATAAAATGGTTATGAGCTTTATTGACACCGCAATAAAAATGTCATACGAACATTGTTAGTGAATTTAGTACCAATGCAGTTATTCCCAGAAACTGTAGCGTAACCACGAAAATGTCTACCCCTCGGTAAAACATTGTCTGCAAAATTTATTCTCCACGGTTTTAATCAATGGATGTTGACGGGGTCTGCTCTCCTACACTAACTATATAGTAACAGTCATTGTACCGGGGAGCTGGACCAAAACTGCGCGTATAAATATCTGTGTATCGAAACTGCACCGTTCTCCGAGCGGGGATTCTCAGTAGTTTTGAGAAGTTGAATTTGAAGTTTGGATCCCACGAAGCCGGACACAGCCGTCCAACTCACCGACCACAATGCCTTCTCTCCCCCCCCCATCCTCCCCAACCCCACCCCCGCAGCCAACCGCAAACTATCATCCGTCATGTATCGAACGAGCGAGCCGGGCTCGGGATTTTACCAGCTGACAGTTTTGCGCTACACTGAGCTATGAGCGGATCAATCCATCTTCATCCACATTGCCTTAACAGCAAGCTGGTACTTCCCTCACCAACAAGACACAGCCTTTTCCAGGAGGTCGCCTATTCCTGCCGGTAACCGAAGCCGTAGTAGATATGCCACCATGAGAATCAATAATTACAACTTTGAGAAACATTTCGTATCACGACAGTGACCAAGCCCAGTGTCATATCACACATCACAACATTGCCTCTTAAAAGTAAATATAACAATCAACGTTTAATATGCAGTATTCGGAGAACCATTCACCCTGTGCATAAAGTATCTACATTCTACATGTCGTTACCAGTATTGACCTTCAATTCTATTCATTTTCTTTTTTGAGAAATGCGTCCAATCTAGTACCAATGCTCCTCGTAGTATTTCAGTCCAGCTCCGGGAGGTTTTCAGGCCTTTGCGACTGGAGTTCACTGGCGCCACTCCAGCCAGTGCGTTCCGGCCGCCGAGCTCCCACTTCCCGTCGGCACTTCCGACGGCCGCATCGGCCGTGGCGCGGCTGGCAATGGAAAGAATAACACGAGCTCGTACCGCAAATATGTCGGGTGGGGACGTAGCAAGCCCGACAGAGGGCCCACATGCCCCGCACATAGCGCGGGGAATAATTTTCAGTGGGTTGTCCTTGTGGAGCAGTTTGAAGGTCACAGCGTATTTACCAACCGGCTGTGAGCTTGTGAGCCTGAATTCTGATTTAAGCAAACAGGGCCACTGTTTGTCCTCAAAGGTTTTCACATAAGCTATGAGTCAACTACATAAGTCAATGGTGATGTTCCAATGATGAGTGATTCCTTATTCATGATGCCTTCAAGTCTTCCAACTAAAGACGCATCCCGGCTGAAGCAGACAGAGCAGTAGCTCCCTCCTCGATAATCACTCCCCGGCACCACACCTCTACTCCTGCACTCCCCCCGTGAGGCTCAGCACGGTGACGGGGCAGATCAGGCCAGACACGCAGGTGTAGCGCGTCAATGGCCCCCGGCCCAGCACGTCCAATCCGATACGACAGCCGTATATTTACCACGCCGCGGCCGTAGGGACGCTGACACCGCCGGAAACTGCACTTCCTGCGAGACGGAGGATACAGGATACAGGACCGGACCGGACCGGACCGGACCTCTCAGCGGCCATCTTGGAACAGGAACGGTATCAGTGCGTTAGTGTGTTTTATTCAATGTTTTCTTCGTCTTTACAGTCGAAGGAGGTGACCCGATGTCAAGTTTAACTATAAAGCAGAGGATAGACATATTTATTCACATGGCTGGAGTTAAACCGCCGCATATCGGCTAAAATATTTGACATTTCATGGACGTTTTCTTCTGGAGCCGACCGTCACGCGCGCCGTGCGCCGCCACCGCCGCCTCTGCTGCGTCGTTTTGGGGTTCGTTTACCGGTGGAGCAGCCCGAAACGGCCAAACGCCGACAAGCACGTACAAATGGGGGCCTGTTCAGGCCGACTGTTTGGCGCGCGGCTATTTCTCACGTATCAACACACAACGGACGCAGAGCAGAGCGCGCTGGGTCGACCTGCGTTGACACAACCTTGACGAGACCTGACACCACGGGTTGGGAGTATGATTGAATATGCTCACGGACAATGTGTCAGAAATGACGCAGACAAAATGTGGCCCATCAGTTATCATGCTGGGCTTCCTTGCCCAAAGACCAGCGTTATATTGCTCACAGGCGGGTTGTTAACTTGCTGGGCTTTGATGACTAACGAGCCGTGAAACAATATACGATACAGGTTCCATGTCAGAAATACTACCTCGGTCAAAGGATTGGGATTTCACCTGGCATACGCGCTAGCTAGCGGCGTGGGGCTTCACATTACTAGCCTTCCCGTTTATAGTTCCATTATTTACCGCCACCAGCGATCATTCCAGCGTCAGGGCCATTCCCTGGGTTTCCCTAAATCCTAGCATAAACGTCGCCCTGGGTTCCCCAAGGCACAATCACGGGGCCAGGGTTCTTTCCTATCCACATGCTCGTGGAAGCTGACGAAGCCGTGCGCACCGGACGTCCCGACTCGACTCCGGTCTCGTACGAGGTCAGTGGTATCTCACCGATATCCGCTGTCGTCAGCCGCATTCAGGGCCCTGCTTCAGCGGCACGAAGCTCTGAGCCAGGCCTTACGGCGGCCCAGGCGACCACGGGGAGGTTCTGATGAGCAAACGGCGGTAGAAATATCCACGGTACACTTCGAGAAATGCCTGTGAATTCGCTGCTGGGATGTCTTACACAAATAACATTGGATACTCTGACACTAATGGACAGTCGGACAGTTGACATTTGATATATCTGTGAACAAAGTCGAAGCCCAGACGTCGGTCCAACCATTACAGAGCGTCGTGAACGATGGAAGAGAACAAAGCTGACGTCACTGAAAGCTGGCATCCTCGCAGCACTTAGGAAAAAGGGCACAGAGAGCATAGTTGGACAAGCCCAGAGCTGGGTAATTCTGACGCATCCCAGGTAGTGATCGAAGCCCTTTGTTCGCGGCTGTTCAAGACCGTCTGACTCTATAGACCCGCCCTGGCGGCGCCCTCTCACGGAGCGGCGTCGGCGTCGTTCGTGCGTCGCCGGTCGGCGGCGAGCGGCCATCACCGTCCGGTGGCCGCCCACCACACCCCGGGTCGGGCCGGCGACGGGCCTGGCTCGGGGCCAGCCCGGCGCCGGGCCGCTCCGAGTGCTGTTTATCCGCCCACGGCCGGCCGACGCACCATGAGCGGCGATATCGATCTCGCCGCCGCCGACGCGCCAGACGGCGTCGACAACGACGGCTGGGACTACAGGGGTGAGGGAGAGAATGGACAGGTCACGGGTCAGGTCAGGTCGTGAACTTACCGAGCAGCAGCAGCTTGATATCCTTGGCCGCCTGTAGGCCGTCCTCCTTCAGGTTTTTCTCGATCAGCTTGCTGCGGGCCATGGCGGCCCGCTCGTCGGCGGAGAGCGCACAGCCCATGGCGCAGGTCAGTCTCACGCAGCTCGCCAGCTCACGGCAGGGGTCACGCGCGCACGGCACCGAAGCTCACCTCGCTCGCCCGCCCCATAGACCGCGCCGCGATGCCGCGCGCCGCGCCCCGACCCTCCGTGGCGTGAGCAGACCGGGCCGACTGAGCCGGGCCGCCGACGGACCGCCGCGCCCGACGTTACTATGACAACCAGCGGCCGGCCGGCGCGCCGTGACGTCAGGCCCAGCGCCGGGATCGATGCTGGAGCGGCGCGGGCGCCTGCGCGGCCCAGGTGGCGCCACCGGCGAGCAGGCGGGTGGACCCAGGGGTGGACCGGGGAGTTTAGTTTTCAGACGGCAGGTGGCAGCACTGCACGGACATCCACGAACCGACGGGATAATCAGGGCACCGGGCTAATGATGCGTGCGCGGCAGGGCCCGGATATTAGTTGGAACTACTTTGCCTCTGTCAAAGACATCGATCGATTTCGGCTTATTCTCACCAGTGAATTTAAGCATCACGATTGCCGGTCAAATAAAAATGTAGGTAAAACGGACGCCTAATGGAGGACAAAAAACAAAACAAAAATAAAATCTTTCAAGATACGTATCACTTCCCGGAAAATCAGCAAGGCATAATTTTTGAATGATTGTACCTAACAACAAAATATGTTGCGAGCAACCATATGTTCAGTGCCCACGAGTAAATGAGGTTGACAAATAGGCGGATGCTCACTACACACGATAAAATAATATATGTTAATATTAACATTTTTCGAGCAGTCCAAAGCATTTCAGCGATAGCCATGCCTCGCATCTGAAATTTGGGCCACGTGGAACGTTAAGTAAAACTTTATTTGAGCAAGATCTGAGTGCACACCGCCACACCGGCAGCCCTTTCGTATGTAAATCAGCCAATTATCAAGCCTCTGAATGAATCAAGAAGTTCAGCCTTCAGGGCTCTCAGCTAATCCAGAGGAGACGGCGTTTCTGACGAACACATTTTTAGAAGGTGACAGTCGACGAACGAATGTTGAGTAATGCCATTAAATTCGCCGTGTGAGTGATTTTTCACACCTCACCCCTCCTTCCCCTTACCGCGCCATGTTGTCAGGAGGGGCTGCGAATAACCACCAGCATATCACATTTCCCAGAACATTTCCAGCATATTTTCGGCCCTCCTGACCTATCAACTGCCTGCCCTGACCATCCCACCGCCTCTCTCTTGTGATTGGTCGACAGACAGCGTGACTCCGCCCCGCCGCTCGGTGACCTTGACCGGTCTCGGCCGCGGTAGAGCGGCGCCAGTGAGAGAGCGGAGAGCGTCGCGGAGTGAAGAGGTAAGAGTCTGTGAGGCGGGAAGTGAGCGAAATGGTGAGAGTCATGGCAAGTGGCGGGATCACCATAACTCAGCGAGCCAGCGAGTGAGCAGTTGGAGAGAAAAGTGGACAGTGGACATTGGACACTGGACAGTGGACACATAAGTGGACGGTGGTTGTGCCTGAACCAGATCATGCATGATTTTTTGCCCTCGTAATCACGAACAGAAAAGTGGATACAGGTCGTTGGTGCGTAGGCAGAGGATCGTGAAAAGAGCAAACGAAAATAGAGGAAAGGTCGGAGGCGCAGAATATGTCGCCACCAAAACGTCACCGTGATCGATAGACGTTGGCAGAAGTGTGACCAGTGAGTGTGCGTGACTGAGGCCTTGCTCGCTATTGTGGCACCAGCCAACACCGTTGTCGTACCACCGGTACCAAACTCGAAGGTCGATATTTAATTCCGCGGCATCGCTGAACACCCAAGCCTCAAAGATCGCTGCGCGTCATGCAGTAACGATGACTGGAGCAAAGAAACAGGAGAGCGCCATACGTTCTACGAATGTTCAGAAACGTGAATACACCCCAGAGGAAAAGAGAGGCTCTCCCGAGGGCAGTGCGGACCAGCCGATGTGGATCGAGGAACTGGAATCGGCACTGGATTCTACCCTTCCTTCTCAGCAAACGAGGAGAGCCGCACGTAAGTCGAACGTCAGCGGATAGTTTGGATGCATCCACCGATGTGGATGCATCGTTCAAGGTAGATGTAGGCAATCCTTTGGCGATCTCCTGCGATGTAAAATCAGAGTAGTTAGGAATCACCTCAATGGACTGAGTAGTTATTTTTACTTTGGGTCCAGTAGTTCGAAGGGCTCACCCAATAAACCAATTCTAGGGCACCGTTCTAGGATTGGAAGGTAAGAGCTAAAGAGGTCATTTCCCGCACAAAGACCTCCCACTCACACGGACCGAATCCTGCAGAGTGCAGGCTGCAGGTCGAGCTATTAGCAGATGTCGCTGGCGACCACACCGACGCTGCATGGTAGGTGGCGTTTCAGCAGCCTGAAGCTTATTTTCAGCGCAGTGGGTATACCTTCATTGCGTCGGTTGCAGTCTCTCGCTTTATACGGATTATTCGTTATCGCAAGTGGAAAGGTCGGGCGGGAAATCCTCTTTCACTCAAAGAAAGTTCTTGCCCTAGAGGAAAGTTAAGCTGTCACGTCCAAAATGCTTATTTTAGAGAACGCACAAATAACAGGGGCAATATGTACCAAAAATGCGGTCTAGGAAAAAACCTTTTTCTCTTCCACTGCGCGCCCCAAATCACTTGCACATGCGATGAGTTCAGGAGAATCAAAGTACCTCACCTTCACAGATAAACGTGTCAGGCGTCAGCTATTTGATGAGGTGCAGGGTCATCCGATTGTCAGAGATTGTTTCACAAAGACAATTTCCATTGTTTTTTAACGTTTTTCTTGATTGCTTGGCTATTTGGGGAAAAGGGCCGTGCAGTCATTCGCTTGTAAGTCACTATCGCCATGGGCCTGTGACTGACCACGCCGATTGTCTGTCAATTTTAGTGGGTAGGTACGGGACAATAACATGTAGCGGATGGTGTTTAGGAGCTTCAATGTTATATCACTTTGAAATCGTCAGATTCCAAAGGAATGTTGACATAATTTGCTAATGAAAAACGTTATTTTTGTGATACAAAATGACGGCACGAAATACAAGATTACCTAAATACCTATGACGGCATAGCATCAGCAAGCAAGAGAACGTTAATGTCTAAGTAAGTGTAGATTGAATGGTCAATTAAAAACGTTTATTCGAAATTAATAGTTTTAGTTTGAGCCTATCGTTACGTATCTAAATTTTGGTCGGATCTGTGTCCATTTGTCTCCCCGGGCAGGCAATTTTCGCCCAGTTCTTGCTGTAGTCCGCTCCAATGCAGTGCTCCGAAACAGCAGGGAAGGCAACTTTTCCCGCCTCTTTACCCACCGGTCGGTTACACGAAACTTTTGACGATGTACTGGCCGCTTCTACTCGAAAGTAGTTTGCTCCAAATTCTTGCACAATTGCACATACTTTAGCTGAAATTTTCTGGGCGACGAAAGCTTCGACGAAAGTACATTATAAGCCGACGACCCCAACGGGCGAGGCCACTGGGAACTATAAAACCAACGGGCAACACAAGGGCAACCAGGGGGCAGCGACGCATAGACGGCAGCAGAGGCTGCGCTACTCTGCAGTGACCCAAGACCTTGAAAACGTCCGTCAGTCAAAGTCTAAAATGCCGCAGCCAAACCAGCACGACACCAAAAACAAGAAGACAACAATTTGAAAACACCACTTCCATTCCAGAACAGACAAACACCTTAGCGAACTGATTCAAGATCACCCCACTCACGCGTGTCACCAGCGGAGCCCCCTCCCCCTCCCTCCGACCGGCGGGGGGCGGGCCCTATCTTATCTGGCGTCCTATTGGTGTGCTCGGCGGTGACGTCACGCCAGACCGCCGTACTGCGGGTGGTGAGGAGACGGAGAGTGGCTCGTCTCTCTCAGCTGCTCGTTGACGTTCTCGTGTCTCGGTTGGGTGAAGTGGCGCGCGCGTGCCGGTCGCCGGTCAGTGAGGTGTCACGTGGGCTCGTGTCACATGTCGGGTCAGGTCATGACCTCGCTGTCGAGCGTGGGTCCGGCGTCTGTCATCGTGCACGGCCACAGCGCGCAGCAGATGATCAGCTCGAGCCAGCAGCCTTCATCCACTGTCGGTAGGTTACCACGCCGATGGGGCCTGGGGGACGGAAGGAGGGGGATAGCGTGGTCTGTTGACTGCTGTGGTCTGTTGCAGATGAGCTGCACTGTTCGTCATGGCGGGACATGGGGAGATAAGCGTTGAAAAGATAAGAGATGCATTGTGGGGAGATCACAGTCCCACGCACAAGGGGGAAAAGCTCAAATTATTGAGCGCTCAAAATATTGAGCGTGTGACGTCAGAGGCTCCCATAGGCGTAATGCTGAGGGCTCAAAAAATTGAGCCGTTTCAGGAACACGTTTTGCAAAAGCCACTCGCAACACCTAGGGAGAAATGGCAACACCCTAGGAGAATCACTAATGATGCAAAACAGATTAGGCTTTCATATTTTTCACTGCTCAAGCTTCAATGATTGGGGGAACACCAATTTATAGGTCGAAATCTTACGGCATACCAGGATGACTTAAAAACAGGCCAATATTTATGTCGAAATAAAAGTTATTTTTTGTCCATTCACGTTTTTTACTAGGGTTCTGTTGGAAAGAGCATTTTTCATACTACCCAAAATGATTGCGATTCAATTTCACATTACCCATATCGGAGAATATTTTTCATTTGGCGGCGCCGTTTGTTTATTTCGTCGCGACGTCTCCGGTCGCGTGGTTGTCGTCGTCCTTGTGTTGAGGGTAAGTTTTTATCGTTTTAGTTGTACTTAGATGTTAAAAGATACACTGAAAAGTTTGAATATGCTGTGATTTTAAATTTGGAAACACGTAAACGTCAATCAATTCACGTTTTCCTCGATTTGCGTGCAGACAAGTAACTGTCGACGAAAGTGGCGCCATCCGATATGATGTTTTGAAGGAAGGAGACACAACATATTTACGTGAAAATTTTTGTTTTTTAGTGGTCTAAGTGCTTCAAAGAGGCTGTGAATGTTTTCTTCACACAATTTTTCATTAGTTATGGTGAGGTAAAAGGTAGTTTCAGTCTTAACTATCATATAAATGACATTAAAACATATGATAGTCCACTGCTATCAGTGATTGAGTACCTTGATATTTGGCATTTCTTATTAATTTGAATGTATTCTCTATCCATATGTCCTGATAGTAAGTGACAATACTCTGCCAATATGTTTCCATAGTTTTCACATTCATTTTCCAGTCCTTTACATAACATCACAATTTATAATCAACAAAACTCAACTCCTTCATTACTTCACAACACTGACAGCATGACAGACTGACAGTCAACTATTGTGTGGGTGAATGCTGAAACAGGATAGCCACTTTGCTGACTGGCTCGCTCATATGAAATAAGATAAAAATGACCCTTTATATCATTTCCATCTGGAGGATCGGAGTCCACGGAAAAGGAAGGCCACTTTCAAGCCTCAAGGTCTAGGCCGCCAGACGCCAGTCGGCACTCACCGCCAAATTTATAATCGATTAATTCATTATTATACTTTGAGACCCTTAGGTCACTGGATCAGCATCACATTTTCAGTTTCAATATAGTAAAGGTTTTTATTTGTATGATGTGAAATATTTTCCTGAATCAGAATTTAATTATCCCTAGGTACCTGGTAGAGGTTTTGGATTTAATGCTCATTGTTGGTGTGCAGTCAGGATTTTTTTACAGGTCCAGATATGGAATCCTGAGCAATTTTATAGTAAAGTGGTCTCCTTATAATCACCACACATTTTATCAAAAGCATTTGCAGGATTCATTCAATGAAGAATTTTATAAATGTTGCACCCATTTCTTAGACGACCTAGGCTGCATCTTTTTTTTAGTTCCTGTTGTATGACATATTTTCCGTTTTGTTCCACTGCATAAAGAAAAAAATCGTTTGAGATCACCAAACAGCTTTTCTTTTTCTGGCAGGTCTGCTCAACCAAGCGGTCGCTGGCGAGGACGTCGGCCGTCTCTGTGGGTAAGGTCATCTGCTCAGCCTTTGTGGAGATCAGCAAGACGTCACTAAGATGAAGACTTCGCTGGAGCAGAAGCCGCTGACCTGTGTCCGATCGGGCAGGTCATGCTCGACGGCACGAGCCACAACACGAACGACTCGGTGACATCAACAACATGGTGGAGCAGGTGAATGAGTTTGGCGACGTGTTGTGCGACTGCAAGAAGGGTTGTCTGCGTGTTCTGGCCGGCGGAGCGGCGACGCTGCGCAGTCTGTGCTGGCGGTGAGCAGCTGGCCATGGTGACCGCGCGCGCCCACATGCGCCGACAACCTGTGCGGCTTCGACGGCCCGGGACAGCCCGATGCCGCCCACTATGCGACGCCGACCGCGCATCTGTCCGCACGGCCACATGGAGGTGTGCCCGCGCCTTTTGCCCGCACGCCGCTACCTCGCAGCTGGTCTGCAACCACGCCGTCGCCGCCTGTAGCCCGATAACAAAACGGCTGTCTGATAATGCCGCGTGTTCTTTGTGATGTTGTTACTGTGATGGTTGCTACTGCTGGTCTGAGACTCGATGTTTCCATTCGTCTTTTACATGTTAAGGATTTGATAATGATAAGCTTAGTCCGAGCTTAGGTCGTTTATATCATTTGTTATATGGCATATTTTGGATCGAAGCAGTACGACACTGCCTCCTGCTTTTGTGATGTATGCTGGCAAGACGCAGGTTCCGGTCTCAGGTCACCCGGACCCGGTTCCAATGTGGTCGGGCTGGCATGCGATAATGTGATGTTGTTTTGCTCGTCTCTGTGTTCCACACTTGATGATGTTTGTGAATCTAACCCACATTGTATAGTATTTTTGTTTGTTTGCGGCCGATGGCCTTGTAAGTTGTAACCGTGGCAATACAGTTTTTCCTGCTATAATTCTCCAATATTCAAGGGTGGGTGGATATCTCTGTATTCACGTATTCCCTTCTCCCAGTACAGTCAGAGAATATCAATTACAGTATTCATACGGATTATTCAAGCCTTGTATAATTATTTGAGGTGTGCCGAATCCGAAAGACCGATAAAACTACTAGCGGAAAATGTGACATGATGCCATGGGTTTGTGAAAAGTTTAGGTACCACGTAGCATTCAACTTCCTGCATTTCTGTTTCAACTCAGTTTAACGTATTTCAACGAACACAACATCAAGAATGGCAGCCAGTACCGGCTTCACCTGTCACGGAGAACGCTCAAAAAATTGAGTGTAGATGCTGGCCGGCACTCAATTTTTTGAGCGCCAGCTGACTGTCGTCTGTCGTGGCGCTCAATTTATTGAGTATCGCGGTCCCGAACGACAAGTGGCGCTCAAAAAGTTGAGCGTCTTTAGGGCATTTTCTTTCCAAAAACACCGATATAAATTATCACGGCGAGTGTTCGAGAAGAAACCTTGTTGCTCTCTCTTGCCAGTGATACCTTATTTGGATACGATATTTGCCGTAGTGTGACGCTAAAGGCATTGTAAAATACCATCGTTTCGCCTATTCCTTCATAATGGGGCCCGCTCAATTTTTTGAGCGCTCAATTTTTTGAGCTTTTCCCCCTTGTGCGTGGGACTGATCAGGGAGATGCTAAACGTTTGCACAAAATGAGGGAATACGCAGAGAGGATAAGCGTACAGTTGCAGGAGCATTGAGTATTTTGGGGGCACCGTGCATTTTTAGCTCAGTCCATAAATGACAACACGACGCACAGTAAGCTATTATTCTCGTATCACCCATGCTTGACTAATGAACGTTTTCACTCAGCATTCAGTGTTCCACGGGCACTAGGCATCACTGTCGGTTTGTTTCCGCTGCTGGTATATCTTGCCGTTCCGTATTTATATAATTAACTCTCACCCAGCCCGATTTCTCGGCTCACCATCAAACCCCCATCCCAACTGCTGAGCAGGTTGCTCCGACACCCGCTCGCGGCCGGAGCCGCCGCTCACCTGCCCCGGCCTATGTTTGATCCTCGTCTCTGCCGACCGGCCGTCGCTCGCCCCGTGTAATGACCAGCCGGTTTGTCAAACAGCCCGTGAGCAAACGTTGGCCCATGTGCTGGAGGTCGCCGCGGCCGTGACACAGCGATAGCGGGCACACTGCGAGCGAGGCACACGGCGCATGGGGCTCCGTGGCTCATGGAAGTCAGCAATGGTCCAAAATCGGCCCTATGGCCCATTGTTGCCTTCAAAAACATGACCGCATGCACCCCTGTGTACTGTGGCCTCAATCATTACTCGAAACTGACCCCTAAAAGCCCCAAAACCGATCTTCGTAGCATGGGACACAGAGCCCACTGCTGAGCTAACTTGGCCCACAGCCTGACCCACTCTTTCCAACTCTGTGCGAACTATGACCCTCGGCCGGTCCGCCATGGATAACATCCGACTCGCCATGGATTATATCCTGCCTAAGTGCCTACCATAGCCCAAGGTCTCTTCGAACATGCACTCAGCGCCTGCGAGTGCGCACAAAGGCCCACAGACTGCACAGTGCCTACTGCCTACCATATTGACCAGTGCCCCATGCCCATGACCGCCTAATATATGGGCCAGTAGCCTGCCCAGCCGCAGTGTGGCTCAATCAAAGCCCGACGTCTGTCTACCATGGTTAACACCCTGTCCGCTGTCCACTCCACCATGGCCCGTATACTACGTAGCAAGCCCGTATATACGTAGCAAGCCCTATTCTTCATGCTACTGTGTAGCAGGCCCTACCCTTCATGGCCCATGTATCCGAAGCATCACGTCCCAAGGCCCGCGCGGCGATTCCCCGCTCTCGTCCTCCAATACTATGCACCTCACTCGGACAGAATGGCCCGGCGGCACTGTGTTAGCTGCGTCATCAAGAGCCTCATCATTCCTCCCACTGAGGGGGTTTTCCCGTGTCAGGTGGGCGTCAAGATGCACTCGAACCGGCGAAACTGAGGGAAATAGAACGAGTGCGTCCATGTGAACAAGTCCGTTGGTTATGTAAGCTGAGGGTAGGAAAGCGAGGAGATTCTTAGGCTTGTAGGCAAATTTATGTAGCCGTTATTCACCAATAAGTGTGAAACCATGGCTTCTTATATGTAGATCACGGAACACAGGCCTAGTGGTGCCATTTGTATTGTTTGCTTTTGATGAGCTCACATATTCCGGCTACTGCGATTGGTATGATGTCATGATGTCCAGTGCTCTTAGGCTTCAGAGGAAGAAGAATAACTCAAATAAACTGACTGGGTGGTATCTGCCAGAAGAAAAGGTTATTCAAGGTTATCAGTCAGAAGTATATGTCTAGGACGGTGATTTTCTTCACAGGACGACACTAGAAAATACCACATTGAACGCCATAACGATACGAACAAAGTCACGCTTATTGGGTGAAGCGTTGCTTGAAACACAATGTTTCAACTTCGCATGTTGCCCTTGTCCAATGGCGACCAACGACTAAGACCCAAGGACAGATTTAGCCAGGAGGTAAACATTTCAGTTTTCCACACTCCATTCCAGCCTCACCAGGCACAAACTTCCGCTTTTACCCTCACCGGGCACTGACCGTCTTCTTCTCGCACCTGTTACAGTGGAGGTGGACCACCACGCGCCACCAGTGGTGCCACAAATCGACTCCTCGACAGCCGTCAACCAGCCGTGTGCCATCTGCAGTGACAAGGCCACTGGCAAACATTACAACGCCATCTCCTGTGACGGCTGCAAGGGCTTCTTCCGCAGATCGGTGCGCAAGAACCAGAAATACTCCTGCAGGTGGGTGTAAGATGTGTCGTTCGATGCGGGTAGAGCGTGTCATGGACGTGCCAAAACATCGGTACCGTTGAAGGTGGTCAGTTACGACATAAAAGAGAATCCAAGGTGTATGCTGTAAAGAAAAACGTTTCAGGAGAAAGGCACAGTACTTCAGGAGAAGCGTTAGACATTCAGTCATATGAGTCAGGCACGAATGATTTGTGGATTCTCGCGCTCGTTGGCCAGTTGATTTTAGTGGCGTTTCTGGGCTTGTTGGACCATCCCTTTGCAATTACTCTCTAGTCTCCACCCACCGTTTACTTTTGCTCTCACAAACGTTTAATGATGCATAAAAAGAAAAACCCTTACGAGTACAATAATACCGTTTTTTGCCACAGGTACGGACGGAATTGCGTGGTGGACAAGGAGAAGCGGAACCACTGCCGGTACTGCCGACTACGGAAATGTTTCCGAGCAGGGATGAGGAAAGAAGGTGAGTCGTCCCCTGTGTCTCGATGTTTTAGACACTTAAGATACATAAATTTGGTGAGTGTTTCGGACTCATCTTGGAGCCTAAATGTCGGCTTGCACCATGGTGCTACATCACCTCGCGGCTCGCACAATAAGTTCAGGACGGCTGCTCATTGTTTGTTTTAAATAATGCAAACAGGTATTGCGAATTTATAGATGAAATGAGAAAACACGTGAGGTGAGGTTGTGGGCCAGCACATCAGAATAGTAAACATCATGCATCATTTTAACTATTAGCCGTTGACTGGTTGTAGCAATCTGCCTCAACACAAATTGTGGGTCTGATTGGCGTACAAAGCGGGCCACACAAACGCCGTCACCGAATCTGTCAAATCACCCTCGACAGCGCTCGGGCGCTGTTCCACCGGTTCCGCCGACACAGCATCATTTCTCTGCACTCTCTTCGTGCCGCCAATGCGAGGTCGTCCGTGTGTCTGTCGGCCACTTCTGAGCACGCTCCGACCCGTCAGCCCGGGGGGCGGCTGAGGACCCGCAACGCACGACGCACAGCCGACGGAGCGGAGCGCACATTGGGTGACGTCTGGTATAAACGCACCAAATAAACGCTCGCCGGTCGAAATGTCGAACACGCACATTTTTGGTCGACGATCGGCGCTGAGTCTGCACACGGCGCAGTACAGTTGCAGACCAGCTTATCGGTAGTTTATAACCTATACAGCCGCCAGTTTTTAAACTGTGGAGCCAGAGACAGGGACGGCATTGGAGGTGAATCTAGACGTGCTTCCAAAACACTGGGTTTTATTATGAAAAATGGACTGCATTTCATAACTTTTATCAGACCATGTTGATCAACAAGCCAAGTTCAGCTAAAAATGTAATGACTTATCTTCCATGTTAGATATCCAATCATAGCATAAATACCTACATTTAAGTGCGATTTGGTGCGAAATTTGTCTTGAGTTGCCGATTATTCAGTGACCTGGTTCTGGTGAAATTATCAATTTTGGGTGGGCTGCTTATACGTATATTCACGCACAGGACATGCTCAGCCATTGCACAGCACAAGCCTTCCTTTTGCCCAGTTCCCTGTGAAAAGTTCGAAACAAACCGAAGTGCGGCGGTCCCAGAGCTGTGTATAATGTGTAGCCGCCGCAGGGTCCCTCGCGTGGTCAGCACATTCGACACGTCCGATCGACTGACAGAGGCCGGCTCTGGATCTCGTCATTACCGTCTTTGTGTTGGGAAGTGATTCATCATTTCATCATAAAATCGCACCACGCTGCATTTTGACAGTCAGCGCACGCAACTGCAGTGAACGCTGCCCTATCAATATGAATTCTCGACTGACTGGAAAGATCTAGAGCAGGGGTCGGCAAATGGTGGGGCATGCCCCCTTTGGGGGTATGGAGCCCTTTCGGTGGGGGTAATGAGGGATTCTGAGAAAACCTATCTTTTTAGAGTTAGTGGCTCCATTGATGGAACCATCGTGACTGTTGCATCCCAGGGCCCAAAGATGAGCCCAGGTCAAAGGCATGCATACATTGATTAGATACCAATTTTCACGTAGCTGCTCGCCTCACCATCTCACCGCAGTTCCGTACAGTCGTACAAAAGCAGCTGCAATTTTTAACCGTCGCCCGTCTGTTGGCGTTTCCACAGCCGCTAACGTAAGGGGGAGGAGCCGATCGGACCCCCGCGGCCTCTGAGATGGAGCTGTGCATAAAAAACGAGCGTATTACCCGTGACTATAGGAAGCCGCTGCTGCCCATTTTTAAGGTCCTTGGTCATTTCGTCTCATTCAGGAGGTCAAAGACAAGTGTCGAGAAAATCGGGACCCGCTATAACTTCTTGAAGTGAGATTTTATGGCTCAAGATGACCTCCAGAAAAAGCTCATAGCCAATGATCATTGTGGGTCCAGAGGCCAGTTTTACAGACAGAAAAATAGCTGCCTGCCGGAATTGTTCGCCTTAAGACCGCTTCACATACGGAGCGTAAACGGTAAAGCCCTATCCACTTACATGCTCATCGCGCTTACGCTCCGTATGTGAAGCCAATGATTACGTAAACGTAAACGGTAAAACCCTATCCACTTACATGCCCATCGCGCTTACGCTCCGTATTTTTTAGGCAAAAACTCCGGCAGGCGGCTATTTTTCTGTTGGTAAAACTGGCCTCAGGAATTCCCGGGCAGGTTAAGAAAAAAAAATGATTGGCTCGAGGGTACAATTTGGTCGTAATCCAACGGCTTTTACGTGAGCTTTTAACGAAAAACCACCCGCCGCCCCTATATGTACGAGGGTTAAATGGGATATACTAAATGCTTTGTGGAGGAAGTGTCATGTTTTAAATTTGATGCATTGGAAATGCAGAAATACCCAAAGAGTTCCAGAAAGGTATGGAATTTCAGTAAACTTGGTTGTGACAGCAATGGGGTCTGGTAGGTGGGGGGTAATGGCCCTGCCTGGCGCCTAAAAAGGGGGCACAACCCCGAGTGACCTGCCGACCACTGATCTAGAGGCTGTAAAAATCGAGAACATATAAAGTGGCAACCTCGTTTCGTGGTTCATAGAGCCCAATTCTCGGATTTATACATGTGGAATATGTGCAAGTTTTTTGTTCATTTTAGCACCGGGCCAGGGGCCCGGGAACGATTTTCAAGTTGGGGGGGGGGGGCGAGCCTAAAATACCTGACATGATGCATATGAAACAGTGGCGTAGCTAGGGGTCTAAGGGGACACGTACCCCCCCCCCCCCCCATCGGGATAAAAGGGACCCTCGGGTCCGAGGGGCCCTGCGGCGCCATTTGACCGCTGAGGGTTAACGGTGGCCATATTTCTACTCAGAAGGCCCCCATGGGGTTCGTCAGAGCACCTCATGGGCCCTAAATAGCCACACTAAGATCTCCATAAGGGTCCGACGCCGGCGTCTGAGGGCCTCTTGCGGCTTTTAAGGACACATCGGTGATCTCCAAAGGCCCGTTACTGGCCTCTGAGAGGTCTTACCGGCCTGTGAGGGGCCAGTTCTAGGGGCATTTCCCGCCAGTGATGGTCCCACACTTATTTTTCTGAGGGCCCTCATCGGCGCCTATGAGGGCCCACACCGGTGCCTCTGAGGGTTTCACACCCCCAACTCTGAGTACCTACACCAGTGCCTATTAAAGCCCTATATCGGCGGCTCTGAGGACCCAACCAACACCTTCGCATCTAAAGGCCACCCACTGGTGACTTTTGAGGGCGCCACACCGGTGACTCTGAGGGCCCCACCGGCGTCTGACAGTACTATGCCGGTCTCTAAGGACCCCACAGGACTTCTTCTGCCAGCGTAAGGACCCCTTGCCGGTCACTGAGACCCCCTGCCGGCTTTTAGAGAGCTCGCGTCAGCAGCTCTTAAGGCCCCACACCCGTCTGTAACGGCTCCACACCAGCGTCTATGAGAACCCACAGCAACGCATGTAAGGACCCTCATCGGCGACTCTGAGAGAATCACACTAGCACCTCTGAGCGCCCACACCGGCACCTGCATGGCGGCCCCACACCAGTGCCTCTAAAGGCCCCTTACCGGCGGCTCTGAGGGTGCTACCGATAACCGAAGGCACCACACAAGCCCTTAGTGTCGCTGAGCTTTAATCCCATACCGGCCCTCCGAGGGCGCCACGTCAGTGCACTCATTGCCCCACACCCCTCCATCACATCCGGAGCGGGTAAACTGTGTTATACCTATAATAGCGACGATTTTACCACCGTTGTACGTTATGTATTTCTCAAAGTTGACTCATGCTGGTGCAGTATAAAATCTGGCCTGCCAAACTTATGGCCAAGATCAGGCCCAAATCAAAGCGGGATGACAATAGCAGATGTTGTCAAATCGATACCTACTGTATTAGCAGAAACCATTCAGATGGCAAGGAAAATGCCATGTGTTGATGTGTAGATGTATAAAGGAAACAAGAAGGAAAAAAGTCCGGAAAAGGGAGGAAAGATCTTTTCTCGCTGCCTCAATGTTGAGGGGGCGCCGCCCCCTCGGCTCTCAAGTTGGGGGGGGGGCAAGCGCCCCCGCTGCCCCCCCCCCTGTTCCCGGGTCTATGCACCGGGCAACGCAACACGAGCAACTCCGGAACACACGGCAGGTGCATCTTGCCTCCCCTACTCGAACCGTTGAGGCCAATGAGGACCTGTGACCTAAAGTGCGTCCGGGAATTCCTCGATCGTCACGCACATCTCAGTGTGAACAATCGTCATGACTCGCACGTGGCTCAGTGGCCCCATTGCATCTCCAAGAACGCCAGCCATACGCGGACTTTGGCCGTTGCTTGCCGATTCTACCTCGCTGCAAATCCACTTGATCTCTTTTGTCAACGGCATGATACGGGCCTGTCTACCTGAAATCGTCTCGGTCGGCCCATGTGGCATGTCGCACGTCATACATCGTCGCGAGACTGCCGCATTACTCATTTACTCTCTCCCTACTGGCCGCGTGAACTGTGACATAATCGGCCCCGCCCCGCTCTGGCCAGGAGAGGCGCAAGGGTCACACGACAGCGTAACACTCCACTGAAACGGGCGGCCAAAGGGCGCCAAGCGGACCTTTGGACCCCAGTTGGGGTCCGGCCCGGTGCGTAATTACGAAAGAGAGGACCTTGCTCCGGTGATTATCAGAGGAACATGCTCCGGGTGCCCGTGAACCGAGAGTCTGGTGACTCAACTTGGCCGCATCTGAGAAAACAGCCGCGACTAAAATAGACTGTTGTAAATGTGACCTAGTGTCAGGAGTATTATATTGTGAGGAACGCAAGGAATTATTTGATATTTTTGTGCAAAAGATTACTTTGAACCAAGTGCCTATCTAAAAATGCCATTGAAAATCGCTTCGAACAAAAAAAAAAAAACGTCACGACCAAACTCAAAACTGTTATCCATTTTAATTGTGAAAGTGGATGAGTCTCAGTCTATAGCTTTGTCTATCGCTGGACGTGTCATTTGTAACCATGTCAAATATTCAACCAGTCGAAATCCTGACGTCGGAGGGCTGCCTCAGCCGACTTCCGCGACAGCAAGTGAAGCCGCGAGGGGAGCGGGTTAGGGGGCGGGGTCAGAGGGGGCGAGGAGAACGGCCCGACCCCTGTCGGGTCACGTAGCGGCTTTGTGAGCGGCTGCTCGGCGGATCGTAACCGGAGCGGGCTGCGGCCAACACAATGAGTCGTTAGGCGGAGGGACCGACTGACTGACTTCCCGGCAGTCCTGTTCGGACGCTGGAGGAACGCGTCGGGTGCAGCCACACTGCCATCACGTAACGCGGGGAACACAGCGATAGATTTGCCAGGCTCACAGTCAAAAGAGCTTTTCATGAGGATTGATCATTTTAACGATGCCCATTGCCCAGGCCCCAGCTCACAATTAACGATCTCGGGGATAATTGTCACGGACCAGTCCAGTATCCACTAGGCTGTCCGCCTCACTGTCTCTGAACTCACATAGCTGTTGCCCAGCTGGCTCAGAGGGCTTTCAAAAGTATGGAATCCATAAACTCAAGCTACTGTATTACCACTAATTCATGGCCAAGTCGAGTCAATAATTTTATGGGCGCATGTAGATTGTGCATTGTGCCAAGCGCATTGCGCGTGCACACGCATGAAAAAGTTCATTGTAACGATGACAAAAAGAGATATGCCGTTGAGAATTAATTGGTCATTTTGAGGCGACGAAGCATTTGTCGCATGAATCACCACTCACCCACTAAGAACAAAACAGAAAACACTCGAGTGGTAAGGGCCCAGATGCGATGTCTTTGAGTGTGTGTGAGAGGGACCGGCTTCATCGTGTCGTCGACTAGACTTGCTGTCTCTGAAGATGACGGGTTTCCCGCTGGAGAAGAGATTCGGTGTACTCGACATGACATCATGCCGGCTGCTTTATTGCATCATGTATGACAAGTCGAATATCGATCACTGCCAAAGGCTGAACGGTCCCAATGTCAGAGGCTAGAGAAGGGTGCGAAATGTGAAGGATGACATCACGGAAAACCGTTTGACCGTCAAACCCTAAAATAACACGATATAATTTAGCGAATAGTTATTGAATCAAGTAACCACATCCAGAATAATCTAAGAGCTCATTTGTAAAGCTGAGATCGACGGTCCTTTGTGTTTGTCCCCTGGTCCCAAGTCCCAACTGGAATCTTTCGATGGTTCCCCCGTTCATGCTACCCCTATCTGAGATATGTTCTCCCTTCTTCCGTCAGCCGTTCAAAACGAGCGGGACCGGATCAGTGTGCGCCGGTCCAGCTTCGAGGACTCAGCCAACAGCTCCCTGTCGGTGCAAACGCTACTGAATGCCGAGGTCATCTCTCGACAGATCGACTCCAGCTGGGTGAGTCAATTAGAGTCAGATCGACTCCAGCTAGGTGAGTTGAATATAGACTCGTGTCGAATCCGATTGGGTGAGTCGAATGAAATCAGATCGCCTCGAGTCCAATAGGCTCCAAATGGGCTATTGGCTAATAAAATGGGTTTAACACCTCAAATCAGCTATGGCCAAATAAGTTAAACGGATTTAGCTAGACTCCAGCTAGGTGAGTTTGACGGAGTCGAACCAACCCCAGCTGGGTGAGTCAAATGAAGTCCGATTGACTATGCTTTCGCAAGGATGCGCTATACTTTTTTGCCTTGAAGGAATATCCATGGGTCAGCAATATCGCGGCCCGAAGGCCGAAACCTCCCGGATGAGACCAGCTGCCTTCTGTCCGCTGGTGCCAAGTGCTGAGTGGCATTTACTGTTTACCGACTGTTTATGTAAAATCTGACTCACGCTAAATTTGACCACGTCTGGTGGTTGGTTGCCAACCAGCAAAAAGTTGCTTCTATATACACAAAATGGAAGGAGACTAAATTCAGACGACGCTGTCCGGCGTTACATCCCTCATAACTCAGAACTCTAAGGCCTCTTATCCACATGGGTATCGTTTTGTATAGACTTGGTAGGGCCTGAACGCTACCAATGATTTCAGAATTTTTATGACGTTGACGTTGTAGGTAAGAATGGCTTTGCTATCCTAAAATTAACCATTAGAGCCCTACTAATGCCTTACGGAAAGTGACGCCCGTGCTCCAGTCTCTACTCATGGTTTTGACGGAGACCGACCCCAGAGCAGCAGGTTACCCTCAGATAACCACAGACCTTCCAGATATGCCTGCCGAGCTGACCCGTCTTACCCTCCATGCACAGGACGGATGTCGTGAAATGGACATCAGCGACAAGCAGATGGCCACTCAGGAGGACGTGTGTGACTCCATGCGGCAGCAGCTACTGGCCGTAGTCGAGTGGGCCAAGTGTATACCGGCCTTCATGGACCTCGCCCTCGACGATCAGGTGGGTGGGAGAGGAATGAGAGGGGGAGAGGGAGGGGGAGAGGAGGAGAGGAGAGGAGAGGAGAGGAGAGGAGAGGAGAGGAGAGGAGAGGAGAGGAGAGGAGAGGAGAGGAGAGGAGAGGAAGGGATGGGTGGAGGAGAAAGGGAGGAATGACGCAATCGTGACGGAGGAAAGAGGAAACCCACGCGGCGGTTGGTGACAAGAGAGTGACTAATGAAAAACGCCTGCAGTGAGTTTGTTGGTTATCTTTACTCCAATAATTTATAACGCATCAATTACATCCTGATGTATACAAGCTAATTTATCAGATCTTTGCAATGGTCAGAAGCAGCATTCTTGGAATGCCTGTCGTCATTAAATATGCACTCACTTCGGAGTCGATCATCGCTGTGTCACGTGACTGTTACGTGATTTCTAGTGGGGGCCTCTGTAACTGCTCACGTGATCGCTAAACAGCCTTGCCAGGCAGAAAGTGGGGGTGTTGTGAGGGTTGTGAAGACTTATTTCATGCAACTTAACTCACATAATTACACACATCTCACAAATCAACTATAAATACAGACTACAGTATCACTTCGAGTTTCTACCATTTCTTATTAGAACCACTGATCTTGTATGGAATCATCCTCCGCCGCGCTTTCAGATATATTAAATAATGTATTTAACTTGGCGTAAGTCTGTCGATCGAGTCGTGTGAGACTGGCCTGGTGAATGTAAATATTTAGCCGGTGCCCAGAGAAGTGAGGCCTGGGCGGAAAGGAGACATTTGTCCAGCGGTTCGGATGGCGGTAACTAGACAGTAAGACGCTGGACAGTTTGGCAACGCGTGCACACTGCACATCCCCGAGGAAGACACTTAAGTTATCCCTCCTTTGTGCATGCACATTGCACAGTAAAGTTTATGTCCATGTTGCAGAGTGCGCGATCCCGTACCAGTCGAGTACATTGCACGCATTGCATTGAAATGTGCACGCGCTGTGCACTGAACAATGATCAGTGCACGGACGGTGCACGCAGTGCACACGGTACTGACAGGAGCGTCCGGGATATGAGAGCCACTTCCGAACGGAAGTCTGCTGCTTTAGTCAACGCCTGACCAATGGTCAGGACCACCGGCTATTTTCAGAGCTGCAGCCGAAAAAGGAAAAAGCTGGGTGATGTGTAAAATGATATGATGCTTTGATTTTATGCCGTTTATTTGATATCTACCGCAAGGTGATACGATACCTATCCACTAAGATCTCGCATCTTTTATTCTTACAGCTGAACCCTTGCATTCAATTTGAAATTTTGAAGAAAAAAGTTGAAATTTTCGAGAAAAAAAAAAGAAAAAGTTATGAAATTTCACATCTGCAATGAGCGCTCATCTTTTCCTACTGAGACCAACATATTTTCGTAAGCGTTACTTTTTCAATTGTTGTTGCTTTGAAAATATTCGATATCGTCGAGCAGTGGTCCACTGTCGTCTGCTGTGGTCCACTGTGGTCCACTATGGCTTTCCATGAGCGTCGTCGCGGGCCACCGCGGCTGTCGGCGGTGACAGTGGCCAGTTGTGGGCCCACCCACACGGCCCGGTACACAAACTCTCTCAGACACCGCTGAGAGACGCGACAGAACGGCTCGGCGGGACACACTGCGGAGACGAGCGTTACAGTCTGCGGTCCAGCGCCGGACCAGCGACCAGAAATTCAAACAAGGATACAGCCGAAGTCGTCATAATGATTTACATCAACCCTGTTTCCATGGTTTCATGAAATGTGTGATGGCATTTTTGCCGATCAACGTGTCTGGCTTATTCTGTGTGCGAGCCATGCCATTGGTGGTTATGATTTTGCGGATGTGAGTGGGTGTGTGTGGGGGGGGGAAGGGGGGGTTCGGATGACGTATACCCGGCCTGACAACGACCGTCTCACCACGTGGTCCCCTCAGACTGGGACGGGGAGGGGGGTGCGGATACGGTGTTATCTGCAGGACCACAAACTGGCTAGACAGTTGTCGGGTACCTCTCCCCTTCTCCCTGAACGGGAACAGAAAAGGGGATGTGCCGCAGAATTTGTGTAGCACTGAGGCAGACTCAGAACCGCAGACAGTAATGTCATCCCTTTGACTGCTTCAGTACCTGAATATAAAGTCGTCCATGTCGTCCACTTTCTGTCGGAATTTCCATCGTGAAGCACGACTATCTGAGATTACGAACCCCCTCGAATATCACTGGTGCTTATGATCAATGCAAGGTAGGACTCACGCATGATCATGTGTACGTTCTTTCTAAGTGTATGGGAGCGTATGCGTGCGTGTGTGCTTAACCCTCGCCCGCACATGCCATTTTCCCATCCTAGAACGCACATGGGGGGGGGGGTGGTTGCCACCCCCCCCGCGCCATTTCGTTCCTGTTGGAGATAGAGCTTAGCAGTAAAGACCAAAAAGATTCTTTGGGAAGAGACGAATCCAATGATACCCAGTTTTACCTTCTCAGGTCAGTCATTGACCTTCCAGGTCAGGTCAAACTAAAAAATGTTGCTGTTTTGGGTCACCGTTGGATATCAAGTGTGCTGCTTATCAAATACCGATGACGATGCTGTTTTCTGGTGCCAAGCCAGCTAGAACCTCTTTGTCACACTACCCGACCAGAATTTTGCTGCTGAGGTCATTTCAGGTCAAGTTAGGTCAAGGTCAATTATATGTGTTTGTATGTCTGTGTGTGTCTGTGTGTATACTGATGTGTGCACCGATTGTTTTTGGGTCCATATTACATGAAATCATGATCTGAGAAGCTTTTACCAAAAATGCAGTAAAAAAACTTCAAAAAAAAAGTAAATTCAGCTTGCCTAAAACGCAATTATCTTAGGTGACCTAGGTTGACCTTGACCCTGACCTTGACCCCTGTACATCGTCAAACAACATGTTCCATGATAGGTAGGAGGTAAGACTGGCAAAAAAGGCCGAAATCAGGGTGTCAAAAGCTCATAAGGCCCATGGCAAACGCAAGATGGTGAGAATTGGCCATTTGGGTCATGACATGACCTGAAAAACAAGGTCATATCTCCGAAACCAAAAATCACAGAAACTTGAAATTTTCAGTGGACATCAAGAAAGGATAGAGGAGCAGCTATACGAAAAATCAGCCTTCTAGCTCTAAAAATGTTGAGTGCAGAGCAGAAAGACTACCTGGGGGGGGGGGTGGCAACCACCCCCCCCCCCCCCATGTGCGGGCGAGGGTTAATCCGTACGTAGCCTATTACCCATGTATGACCAATGGCCATCTTTGCCCTCTGGCAGATTGCCCTGCTGCGGGCACACGGCGGGGAGCACCTGCTGCTCGGCGCCTCCTGGCGATCCCTACACCTCAACGGCTACGTGCTTCTAGGAAACAAGAGCGTCGTCACTCGCGGCTCACCAGGTCAGTCGGAAGCGACTGGAGGCAGATGGAGGCGGAGTGAGTGTAGCTCAGAGGTATGGAGAGGCCGACCGAGGGTTAGAAGCTGTCGGGAACTCGGGACCCATTGATGAGATTCGAACCTGTGATATCCAGTCCTCAATGGGTGTGGCTCTCATGATAGTCGAATAACGTAATACAAATGTTTCGACAACCTGCTAAATTATTACATTATTTATTTTCACCCCTTTTTACACCAAAAGGCGGGACTGGTCGATTAGCTAGATAGACTTGATCTCATTTTTCCCCAATCATAGGCGGCGGAACGATTTGAGACAAGGGGGGGCACCATGGCTCAAGGAGCCAAACCTAGAGTACCCCCAAATCCTGTTTTCTCATCGGATTTAGGCCACTTATTTTTCGTCACAGCCCTGACACGATGATTTTTTTTTTTTTTTTTACTAAACGAAAATGGCAGTTCACCCCCGTATGCAGGGGTGTACCTAATTTTATATCTCTTTGTGGGGGCATATGCACCCACAATCCTGAATTATGCCCCCACAATGATGAAAAAGCACCCACAAGTCTTTTACAAGGCTGCAAGCGTCCTTTCGAGAGCACGGTGCCCTTCGCATGCTCTAACGGCGTCCTCCTGACCGTCTCGCGTTCATGTACCGGGGTTACATGAGCAAGTAAATGTGTATCAGGAACGGATTTTCCTATTCGCTCACCATTGTAGTCCGTTTGTAATGCGTATTAACTCTGCTCATGTAACCCCGAGCATGGATAGCGTTTTTAATCATCACTCGGCGCCCTTCTGGGAGAATGGCGCACTTTTGACAGCACCGCGCCATTCTCATGGTCTAACGGCGCCCTCCTGACCGTCTCGCGTCCTTAGGTCTCTGTTCACCGTGCATCCCTCGACTATTCGGCGCCCTTCTGGCCTCTCAGCGCCCCTGAACCACATATAGCGTTTTCAATCACTCGGCACCCTTTTACGAGAATGGCGCCCTTTTCATGATCTCAAGGCGCCCTCGTAACCATCTGGCGCCCCCACGTCCCCACCAACGTAGCACTACTGACTGTGCGGCGCCCTTCTGGCCTCTTAGCGCCCCTAGACCACATAGCGTTTTCAATCACTCGGCGCCCTCCTAAGAGAATGGCGCCCTTTTCATCGTCTCACGGCGCCGTCGTAAGTCGTAACCGTCTGGCGCCTCCACATTTGGTGCCCCTCCTACTGGATGGCGCCTCTCTACATATTTTTTACGTCCTTCCGGTCAGTTTCCACTTTTAAGCGTGTATTTGCTTAGTCAGACACGTCACTTGAAGCGCCATTCGGCTAGCAATGTTATCAAATTCGGTGTTAATTTAGGCTCCCACATAAAGAATATCTATCGCGCCCCAACACGGCCTGGCGCCGGGCGCCCCTACAGCTGGGCACCCACAATCATTTTAGGAAAATTACACCCCTGCCCGTATGTGTGGTTAACTTTAAGCTGATCCTCAAGTACCTATGTGTTTGTCTCTTCCTTATTGTCGTTTGATAAATTCCATTTATCCTACATGTATAATTCCCAAGAAGCCATCGCAGTACTAATCAGTGGCGAATCCCAGGGTGGAGGTCACATGTGTCATGACTTAGGGCCTGGGGTCACCACATGCCTGCCAGGAGCACCACAGGCCTGACAGCCGACAGGGGCACCACAGGCCCGCCAGGGGTGCCAAAGGCCTAGCAGGGGCACCACGGGCCTGTCAGTGGCACCACAGGCCTGTCAGGAGCACCATCGGCCTAGCAAAAGCACTACAGGTCTTCCAGGGGCACGACAGACCTGCCAGGGGCACCAGAGGCCTGTCAGGGACACTATCGGCTTCGCAGGGGAACCACCGGCTTCGCAAGGGCACCATGGGCCTGTCAAGGGCACCACAAGCCTGTCGTTGGCAATTTAGGATTGTCAGAGGCACCACAAACCTGTCAAGGGCACCTACGTTCTAACAGGGGCACCACAGACCTGCCAAGGCCCAGGGACACCACAGGCCTAGCAAGGACACCACAGGCCTGTTAGGGGCACCACGGGCCTGTCAGGGCCCATGGGCACCTAAGTCATGTCAGGGCCCACCGTAGGCTTGTCAGGGGGCAGGGTAGGTAGGTACCACAGTCTTTCCAGGGGCACCAGCGGCTTAGCAGGGGCACCAGTCATCACATGACTAACCAAAAATAAAGAAAAAAAATGAAAATAGGGCACCACCAAAATTAAGTGGCCGAAATCCGTTGAGGTTTTAATTTTGGGCATAGGTAGGGGCACCACTTCGATTCATGAACCTCCCCTTTCCCGAATTTCCCGAGTTTTCCCGAATCCGCCCCTGGTACTAATACATCAAATTTAAGGGGGGGGCACCTTGCTATTGGTGCCCCCCTTGCAGAATCCAAGGGGGGGCACGGTGCCCCGGTGCCCCCCCCCCCCCGTTCCGCCGCCTATGTCCCCAATGCCTGACGCTCCTGGCCCCCTCCGCAGGGCCGCCCCTCTCGACAGCCTACCATAATCGCTGCTGCCGCGGCCAGCCCCGATACCTTATCTGCCCCCTCCCTCCCTCCCTCCCCGGCGGCGGGCTGGGAGGGGTGGCGTCTCAGTCCGCACATGGCAGCACGACGCGACGGGGCGGGGTGATAGCACGGTAGGGCGCACCGTCAGCCACGCATAGGGCGTGGTCGGTTTGAGCGTGTGCAAATAAGCGCTCGGTGCGTCTCGTCTCCAAGAGAGAAGTCGGCATATCTCTGCCCCGAGGCGACGTGATGATGTGAGGAAAAATCGCCGGTATCAGTCACGAATGAGGCGCCTCTCCCTCCCTCCCTCCCAGTCACCAGGAGGGGGGCTGGCCCTCCCCTCCCCACCGGGACGCAGCTTACGGTATCGAGGCGGCGACCTTGGCGTCACCACTCCTGCTATCTCGCACGAACAGCCCGGTCATGTGAGGACACAGCGCTGCGCGGACGCGCTGGTCCGGCGCCTGGCACGGTATGATTTGCTGTTTCTTAGCTCCCAGGCACGTCAGTTCCTGTAGAGTGGGGGGATTCCGGTTGGGAGGCGTCTGCCCGGCGTTGGACGCGTCACTAGCGGTCAGCGCTCAGCACGCGGCCACAGCACGTGCCTATGACGAGTCGGTGCGAGGGAGCTGAATCGGCACCGCCGCTGCCCCCCCCCCCCTCTCTCCGCCCGTGCTGAACCCGTGACCGTGCCTCGTCAGCTCGGAGCTCTGGAAGGCACTGGGGCGCCGGGACGGCCCGAATACCTTCTACTCCTCTTCCCGAGCTCCGGTTCGGCGGCACGACCGTCGGCGGGTGTCGACTCGGGACAGACGGTGTCCTGACCTTCAAGGTCGCTGTCCCCGCATCTGGGGATCCACTGGGCGTTAGGCGGCACGGGCGGACATCGATAGCAGCGCCTCTATCGGTCACTAGGGAAAGCTGGGCTGTAGGCGACGAAATACCGGCTGAGTTGTCACAAGTTAAATAGGTTTATAGACATCCGTCTTGTGAAAAAGTTGAACTTTTGCCTTCAATATTTCTACAGGCAATTTTAGAAGTGCCTTCACATAGATTACAAAACCGTTTAAATTATTTTATTCACCTCAAGCCTTCCCTATTGTTCTTGATGATGCGGGAACTATTTCTAATTAGTGTTTCTAGCTTAGTAAAAGAACATATTGTGCAAACGATGAAAAAAGCATAAATGGAAGATTTTAAATGCAATTTTCCTTAACAAATAATGGTAAATTCTCTACACATCAAGGAAAAGGTGCATGCTAACTGATAATTTAAAGTTCTTGGGGCCAGTTGGTTTCTTCTTTTCTTACGTCGCCCCAATGGCCGCGAATACATTTGTGATAACGCCTATCGGTTCTCCCTGGGTCAGTGAGCCATCTGGGGACCCACTGGGGCCTCCCTCGGTCATTGAGCCGTCTGGGGACCCGCTGGGGCCTCTCTGGGTCAGTGAGCCGCCTGGAGACCCGCTGGGGCCTCTCTGAGTCAGTGAGCCGTCTGGGGACCCGCTGAGGCCTCTCTGGGTCACACTGGTGGTTAGGTGAACCGACCAGGCTCCAATGGCACCAAGATGCTCGACGCGACAGGCTCGTCTCAGTATGTCTGTCTCTGTGTCGCACGAAATATCAAGCTAGAACACGTCTGCCCTGCCACTGTGCGCTGCGGTCTGCATCCGTGCAGTCAGAATACACATACCACAACTCGCCGTACTCATATCCGCAGCGCCTGAGTCAGAGATCAAGACGGCGTCCGCCCGCGGCCAGAGACCTTTGACACGGACAAGGTCCGCCTCTCGCCGCCGGGCCAGGTCAAAGGTCCGGTCCATGTTTTGGTTCAAAGTGTCAAGGCTGTGCGGAAGCCACAGCTGCCGGCCGGATGGTCGGACGGACAGCTCCTGACCTGATAGTGGCGCCTCTGGCGGCGGAGCTGGGAAACTACACACACGACGGCCGGCTGGTCAGCCCGTGACCAGCCGGGTCTGCACGGCGACAGGGCGGCCGGGTGGTGCCGGCTGTTTAGGTAAACAGGGTGCTCTGGCGCGCCGTCCGAGGGTTCTGTCGCCTGTCGGACAGAGCACTGCCGCGTGCCGGCGAGGGAGGCTGGGCCGGGCCGCGGACGAACCCCAGAACCGAGCCAGGACGGAGCGAGCGTCGCCGACTTGCGGGGGAGGCCGAGCGGTCGGCGACACTTCAGCGGGCGATAAGATACAGACGACACTTGTACGGCGATATCACAGCCGCCAGAGACGCCCGGAGCGACGCTTGAGTGAGCCAGGGCGATGAGGACGTCTGGTGACAAATTCTGGGATGGTTTTCCGAGCCCGTGGTGGCTGGCCTCACAGAACAGCAGATAAGATAACCCTGCCATATGTAATGCTCTGTTAGTTAATGAGTTAAAAAGGGTCCCAGATGCGTACAACTAACAAAGCCTCATAATTACGACGTCTGCCTCTCAACTGAGTAAATCTTTCGAGTCGTCGCTTCGACATTCTTCAATATTCGATATTCATGATGCCTTTCCCAGTTCTTTTGACATGTCTAGGAAATACCGATGAAATGACGGCACTTTTGCACACGGAACTCGCGTTTATGCGGTCTCAAAATGGCCACTCTGGCACTGCTGTCTGTTAGAAGAGGCCTGTTTCGTGTCGCCTGATGCTGACCGCACAGGTCACCCAAAGAGCATTGTTTGGATGGCCGGCCCTGCCCAGTATGTGTATTTGTTTCTCTTGACCTCAGCAAAGAATAATACACAGACGACGGCTTTTGGTACTGCGATATAGTGACTCGGCACGGACTGGTCCTCTGGGCCCTCGTCAGCGACTCTGAGGGGCAGAGGTATACGATTGAACCGTAAAACGCACTCCCCATTCTGAATTAATTTTAGTGTGCAATTATCTCAATAAATGCTGTGACGTTTGCCAAATATTTCATATGTTTCTAAGCTGCATTTTTAACTAGCAGGCCTGGTCACACTTCACGCAGTGCCCAACCAGTAACCAGCACATGCTGTCGTGGCGCCCTGCGTCCTGTGTGTCGATTCCCTAACCACAGATTGCGTTTTCTGTCTGCAGATGTCGCCATGAACAAGATCGGCTGCCGTCTCATGGACGAGGTGATCAAGCCGATGAAGGACATGCAGGTGGACGAGACAGAGTATGCCGCCCTCAAGGCCATTGTGTTTTTCGACCCAGGTACAATAGGTGCGTGTTGCAGACGCACCGCCGCATGCCAGTTTGTAAGGTGCCTGCGCCTGCCTACTGCCTACAGCTAGCTGCCTAGAGCTAGCTGCCTAGTGCCTGCTACCTAGAGTTGGCTGCTGGAGCCTGCTCCTAGAGCTGGTTGTCTAGAGCTGGCTGCCTAGAGCTGCTAGAGCTCATCGCCTAGTGCCTGCTGCCTAGAGCATTACGTAGAGCTACCGCCAGGCTTGGTACCGCTGCACTAGTTATACCTTCGACCGACGAGAGTTGTGGGCTCGTCAGTCAAGGTACAAACCGACCCACTCACCATTCATTCTTACATCTGGAGATACGCTCACGGGACAGAGTCTGAAGTTCGAGAAAAAACGCCGCTACGTCACACCGGTGACGAGCGATGGACAATGTCCATTGGTGACGTGACATTGTCACCCACATCGGCCGTTTAGTGGCGACTTTCGGACTTTGGAGGCATGGTTCACAGACTGCCTCAATGAGGTCCTATTGAGCGCTAATCCAGGGGTGAGAGGAGGTGTTGGCGATGATTAATCGATGACTAAACTCTGTTGCCATGCCCATGATGCATGCAAGATGCATACTTCATTGCAAAGTGCACATGCTTGCTTAATTCTCAAACCTAGTCAAAATGATAAAAAGTAGACATTAGTGCATGATAACGGCTCAGTAACCCTGCATGGTAGAATAGTGCATAAGCGAATGGAAGCATGAGGGATATAACAGATCGTTGTCCTGCCTTTTTATCGTTGCAATGATGCATCGTATATTTGAAAGATTGCTGTAAAATGTGAACATTGAAAACAAGTATTTCAGATCCTCTTTACACATGGGTCAGTTTTATTCACAAAGAGCTCAGCGTAATTTGAGCCGATTATATACCCCATGTTTTTGCTCAAGTGGTATCTTGTGATAGACATTGAACCTATGTGACCCTATCATTTCCTAGCCCCGCCGTGACCGGTGACCCCGTGTGACCTCCAGCGGCTAGTCGGGGCGCCGCCGGCGACGTCCAAACGATCGAGCGGTGTCGGTACCAGATCCAGCTGAATTTGGAGGACTATATCACCGACCGGCAGTACAGTCAGCGCGGCAGGTTCGGCGGCATGCTGCTCATCTTGCCCAGGTGAGCCGGGCAGAGGGCGCTGCGGTCGACAGAGACCGGAGGTGCAATAGGCGCCAGTAGCAAAGAAAGACAGCGTATGTGCGCTGTGGTAGCAAAGTGAGCAGGAACGGCAGGCGAAACTGCATTCGGCTAAAGCAGTTCCCTGACAGGTGAATAGTTAGGAGCAATTATCAAGGGAATTGTGATACAGGCCATTTTGACCTTCTACGGCGTTCTGGTTTGAGAAACTTGACCATCAGAAATCTACATATCTGCGTGAATAAAGAAACGAGCATATTGTTGTCCAGTAGCCAGCCTGACGACATCGGTGGTGCTGTGTGTCTGTGCTCCGGCAGTCTGCAGTCGATAGCCCGGGAGCTGGTCGAACAGGTGCAGCTCATGAGCATGTTCGGCTCGACCAAGGTGGACACCCTGCTGGTCGAGATGCTGCTCGTTGGTAAGTGGAGGGCGCTGGTGGCTGACGAGACGTCTAAAGGGGCACCTAATTTCTACTCCTTAGCGGCGGCATGATTTTACAGGGACTCATGGAGTCCCGATAGCATTATCTCTTGCCCCACAAATGCTATTGCACCACGCCTATTGCCAGCTATTCCTACTGAAGAATTATCTTGGGAAACGTTGCATGGACATATTTTTATTTAAGTTTAAATTTATGTGCACGTGTCTCGTCCCCTGACCCCGATGTCGTGCCCTGACCCCTGTCCGGTCTGTCCGTCAGGTAACAACGGCGAGGTGCCGGGCCCGCCGCCGCCGGAGGGCCAGCAGGGCCCACCCGGTCCGCCTCAGCCGGCCGGGTACCCGGCCCACACCGCCGGGCTGCTGCTGCCGTCCCCTCCACCTCCCCCACCCCACCACCACCCGGTTCACCCGCCACCGCCGCCGGGAGCGCTACAGGGGCCCCCTCCAGGCGGGTACGGCCTTACCTACATGGTGCCGGAGCCGCCGGCCGGCCTGGCCGGTCCTCCCGTCTCGCTGCCCGGGCCGCCGGAGAGGACGGGTCACCAGATAATTCAGCGCTGCGACTACGGACCCTACAAGCGGCCCGGCCCGTCCAGCTTCAAGGAGGAGTCGCTGGAGATGGACGGCGAGCAGGGGCGCACGTTCAGCAGCTGATCTGTGACGTCACGCGGGGAGAGGACCGGATTGGTGGAGAGACCGGGACGGTAGTGAGCGGACCAAAGGGAGGCGCGAGTGGTGTGAGCTCTCGTTCCTAGGCGCGGCAGCAGTTGGGGTCAATGAGGTCACGAGGAGTCCAGTGAAGTCACACAGAGGTCACAAGGTTAATGAGGTTGCAAGGTCACGCGGAGGACATCGAGGTCAAGGACATATCGTTGGTGTGGTCTCTCGCCTTCAAAGTGTCACAAGTAGAGTGGGATTGGAGTTGACCACTGTGACTTTTTACAGGGCATTAGTTAGTATTTGTACAAAGTGAGCTGAGCATAGCTGTCAGTGTTTAATCATTGCGTGTTATTTAAGCTCAGTATCATTTGAGTGAATACGGGCAGTGTATTGCATCGTTTGCATATGTCCGGTGCATTTACAGTGAGTGTGTTGTGTGTGTGAGATTGGATCGGTTGTGTTTTTCGTGCAATGTTGCCGCCGATGATGATAAGTTGAGTCCTAGAGTTGGTTCTCTGAGGAATTAGCCCGCCTGAGGCACGTCGATAGCGCGGATTTAGCAATGCAATCTTGCAAGGCGTTGCAGCTGAAGGCCAGTCGTTGCTAATGCTCATGGGAAGTTGTAGTGCTAGGCCGATGTACGTTGTTATGAGGTGCGTGCCACTCATCATTCTATTCAATATTTATAAAAATCAATGTTATTCTTTGGAACATTCATTTTAAAACAACATGAATACATATTCTTATTAATAGATGGTTATTTCCTCAACTTGTGTGTTCGCATTAAAATCGATAAAATTAAATCTGACCCTTGCAAAAGCGAGTGTACCAGGCACACATGCCTATGGAAGATGCCCCAAAGAGCCGCAAAAAAAAACTCGTTTACATGCTACCAGCCACCGCTTACTGTTTTCAAAAGTCGCGTTCCACCCTACCCAAAAGCAAACATGGGTTTTAAAATGAAACTTGCAGACAAATGTGAACGTTACGTGTTCTAAGATGAATGTTCTAAAGATTGGCTTTGGTTTTATAAATATTAAATAGAATGAAAAGGGTGTAGTGTACCATAGGCGATTGTCGGTATTTTGTATAACAAAAGAAAATAGTTAACGATTAAACAAAGATGGAAGAACATAATTTGCGAAGTGAAATTTACGCATGCTTTTTATTTCGGCATATAGCATGGGGAACTCAATGCGCACAGGCACACCGATAAGATTCCTTTTTCTAAGAGTACTTACAAGGTACTCCGAACATCTAGTACCGATTCGCTTGTGCTTTAAATTGAGACCGGGAATTGGGATTATTTATTAAGAGTCCAGCGATTATCAGACAAGAAGGACTTTAAATATATATTTGACAAAAACCGAGACAAGATATCCGAATCATGGACGCTTATATTTAAAGGCATACGCAAAAAGACCAATCCAGACTAAAAGGCTATAAATATTGGAAACAAAGGACTCAAGATTATGAATCAATTCGGTATCAGTGAATTTGTGCCAGACAATTACGCATATTGCAATGTTGAAACAACACCAGGCTCAAGATCATTCATAACACGGATGAAAAACATATGGACCACGCGTCCGGATCATCGCATAGCTTAATTTTAATTTTCTGTGGTCAAGTGTCGCTTTTTCCTTTAACTTGTTTTTGGCAGCAAAGGGGGAAGGGTGTTGCACACATGGTGCGTGCTAAATAGCATCCACTGTACTGCATTAGTACCTACCTACGCTGCAAACGCTCACTGCTGCACACAAATACAAAACCATTCATTATAGGTACACCTGATGAACTGTGAGTATGATGATAAAGATGATGGTGATTAAAATTCCCGGCTCAACAATCCGAATACCGAGACATCTCAGTGTCCAATTTACGGCACCTCAACAATATCACAAAAGCCACCTCACACCGCCACTCACCGCTGCTGCCACCTATGCTCTCCACCGGGTACTGCAGCTTCACACCGCCGCCGCCGCGGCGCTTATTCCTCCATATGTGCCGCCTTGCGTTTCCTATAGGTGAGTACGTTCTGGTCGGTGGCGATCTGCTCCGTCTCGCGGCGAATCCATCTCTCGTGTCGCCGCATGCTCAGCTGTCCGGCGGAGAACAGGCCCCGTTCCAGCTCGTCCAGGGAGGCGGCCATTGTGGACGTGTCGTCGGCAGTGAGGTTCATGGACGCGTCCATGATGGGTCGCAGCCGGGAGCGTAGAGTCTGAGGAAGGAGGAGGGGCACATGTTACGTGAGTGATGGCGGTTGCCCTAAAACAACAAAACAGAAACAGAAACGGGATGGCGGTTGGAGTCAAACATAAGCAAAGCAAGTCAGCATATATGGATAACCATTATGGAGTTCAAGATCATATGTCTTTATGTCCTTTAGGCTCTATACGACGAACTTTTCCAAGAATAAAGTGCAACTAACGATCGAAACAAATAACCATCACAAACTCCCTTCACAGAACGAAACTCAAAATAGTATAGCAAAACTCTTTTCATAAAGCGAATGATACAAAGCAATCAAACGTAGCAAAACTCATAATTAAGAATATCCCGCAACAAAATCACTCAATGGTCAATAGGAAGACAAGCATCGAGACAAAAAAAAAAAAACACCGCTCCCTTGCTCCAACCCGAACGCTCTCCCCTCTTTGCCTTCGCCCTCCCCTGACCCACCTCAACCAGCGAGGTAGCCATGGCGGGCCCCTCGCCGTGTCGCAGCCGCACCAGGTGGCGGCCCGTCTCGTAGAAATGCGGTCCCCAGCTGTGGAGATTCACTACCTCCGCGCCCGCGTCCAGCATCATCCTACGGACAAATGGCGAGTCGGAGTTACGATAAGGATATGATGTCACGGACTGGGAGGTGGGATCACAGACTGCCCGGATGGGTAATGAATGGGTCGTGAAAAATGCGCCACAGACTCATGCGAAGTTACTGAGGGGAATTGGCGACTGATGGCTGGGCAATGGGCATTAACTCACGACCCATATAGACGGGAATTGCATTTGAACCCTGTTCATATTGCACCCTGTTCATATTTGAACCCTGTTCATATGCTCTGTCATATAGAGATAGTACCTGTGTGTCTGCCTGTAGAGCTTGGGCAGCCTCACGCTGACAATCTGTTTGTAGGTGGTGACGTTCAGCTGGTGTGCCAGCCACAGCGGCAGCTCCAGCTTAGCCTCAGCAGGAATATTTTCATGCTGACCAGATGAATCAAGAAAACCTGCAGCATGGGGAGGGGAAACACAATCTTTAATGGTTGGTGATGGCTGCGACGTGAAGATACAAACCTTCAAAATAATCAACAGATTTGTCATTTAACCCTCGCCGGCCGAGGGGGGGGGGGCGGGTGCCGCCCCCCCCCCATAGGGTTTTTTCGCGATAGCTCCGAACACGCTGGCGATAGAGAGCTGAAACTTGGCATACCTGACCTTTGATCCAAGCCGCATCTTTTGACACCAACCGCATTTTTGGGTCAGGTCAGGTCACTGACCTATGACGTCATAAGTGAACATCTGCACGGTCTTCAGATGTCGCAACTTCGCAACGCCCTCACTGCCAGAGGAGATGTCACAGGGAAATGAAACTTGCAGGATCTAGTATCCATTATGAGTCCCACAACTTGTATATCTCGGATTTTTCCTAAAGGTCATATGAGGTCAGGTCATTTTCGTGACCTCACCATTATAAGTCAATGGGGAAAAATGAAAACTGCTATTCTGGCGCCGGGAACGATCTCCAACTATCTCAAGCACACAGAATCGTGATTTGATGTACTCCTTGCAAGGTTAGATGCGTCACTTTTGCAATGTTGACCTTGCGTGACGTCATTTATGACGTCATCAAGGTGAAATTAGTTTTTCGTCAATAACTCTTGATCAAATTGAGCTAGCGAGTCGGGGAAGGCACCAATGGACTCAGGAAGGCCTGCCGAATCGAATGATATGCGACATGACCTCTTTCGACCAACTTCGTGACCTGGGGGTGCTGACCTGACCTTGACCTGAGGTCAACACCCCAAGTTGACCTGACCCGGACAAAAAGTATATCATTCGACGCGCCTGAGCGAGGTGAACACGATGCTGCAAAAATCGGCGCTCTGCGGCCGTTTTTTGCGAAGTTATTCACCAAAAACTGAACCGTACCTTGGGGCACTTGACCTGACCTCAGAGGTCACCGGTTGACCTAGGACCTTAAAATCGGGTACCAATCTCTGCGTCTCGTAACGGCGCACACGCTCGTTTTTTCCGCGACGCGCTAGCTCCACCAGGGGCGAAACGGCGAGGGGGGGTCGTACCCGCCCCCCCCCCCTCGGCCGGCGCGTATGTAGAAAACCAATAGGTCCGGCGAGGGTTAAGGCAGTAATTAATTACACAGTGCTCCTTTATTTTCATTTACATTCCAGATAAAGGTTCAATAAAATGATTTGAACTACCTACTGACAAATTATAGAACACTCAATCCCCTAGTCAATGAAACATTAGCAACTTTAGGCAAGGGCCTTTAGACATAGAAACAATACAAATTGCAAACATACAAATACAAATTACAAATACAAGAACAAATACAAATGCAAATTGGGTTAAGCAGCAGTTCTATCACCAACATCATTTTGGCAGATTGTATGCTAAACTACAGAGCACTTACCCAGGTGAGGTGTGTCCTCAAGGAACTTGCAGGTTACATTGGCATTGGAAGCCAGGATATCATCTAGAGAGAAGCAGTCTGGAGTGTATGAGCGATTCAGAAGATCCATGTTGACCTTGTCTTCGGGTTACAACGCTGTGGACAGCCAGTTCACAGCAGTCAGGCCGCAGTTACTAAATAGAATATTAAACATGGTGTACATTTTAGACGGAAACTTCTTGAATAAATATATTGTTTTGGGATTCTTTCATAGAATTCAGGGCAAATTCAAATAAAAATGTAATATCTATGTTTAATACTATTTAATTCAGTAGCGGCTGAACACCTTCAATTAAGGGGGGCACTGTCGACTTTTGGTCCCATTCTTTCCATGCAACGCCCATAGGACTAATGTTAAAATGCCAAAATCAAAGGGGACACGGTGCCCCGGTGCCCTCCCCGTTCCGCCGCCTATTTCATTAATGCTTCTTCCGCAAGTGTTCACACCATGCCAGCTGGCCTGCCCGCTGCTCGTAATTTCTTGTGATCCCACCTGGTGTTTATGGCCTTGCCTGTACCAGCAGTATGCAGTGTAAGCTTGAGGTTAAAAAATGATTGTTAAAATATGGAAATTTGGTTTTATTGCTGCAAATGCATTTTGAGAAACACCGATTCATAGACAAATTCCAAAATTAAGTCTGCTCAGTGCTCCTCATCCAGATTATCTAGATCTGTATCTGCATGAAATTCCGAGATGAAGCTGATGTTGAAACAGAAATGATATACAGGCATGCCATAATGTTAGTGAATCCAGTCAAACTGAAACAGTTTGAGTCTAAATACTGGTACGGCAGGTACAGATTGAGATTTCAGTCCAGCTTCACCCTAGGAATACCACTTACCACAGTGTTCCATTTTTCAGACTTTTTGGTGGCAAATCACACCTAATGGGGAAAATATTTTCATCCCTAAAATATGAATGACCGACTATACTTCATCTCTGAAAAGAGTTTCATCTATTCCCAACAGCCAGTTCACATGTCACTTGACAGTTGATGCACCCACATCCTTTTGTTCCACACACTGTCAAGATCCTGACATGAAATCCTGGTTTATCAGTTGGCATTGAAATTGGCATTACACCATTTTGCAAACATACTTTAGTTATTTACGTTCTTTTTTCTCATCCTAGGATTTTTTTTTCTTCATCGGCACACCCAACCAATATCCAATTTTAGAACACTGACTTACCACGATACCTCTTATATGATATCTCCTGTTACGGATGAAAATATCAATATCGATACAGGAAGATATAAGAAAGAAAATTGGAATACCCAAGGTCCTCTAACCGGAATACCTAAACGTCCAGGCAAGTGTTTTTATTCTTGTTTTCAAATTTTTGTCTAAGAGCCCCGCGCGCTGTGCGCGTACAAAACATCGATATTGACGCAGATGCGCAATGTTTGAATATTGTCTTCTTGAATGTCTTCTTGAAATTACCGCGAACGCGTATTTAGCTATTTCTTGCATGCATTTTGTATAAATTTGAAGACAATGTGTGCCTTGAAATTATTTTCAGATTTATAGTCATCATTGAGACAACAATTTATGAAAATATTTACCTCTGAACATTTAAGTATGTGGCGGAATTTCATAAGTATTGTTTCCATTTTTCATTGATAGATGTCGCTAGTAGTAAACGCCTACCTAAAGGTATGCTGCACCGTAATGCACTTTACCGAGAAGGGTTGTCGTAGATTATCGTGTTCGCATCACCCCGAAGGCTATCAACAAATATATTGCTGGTGGTCGCACTATATGTAACCACATATGCTCTTGAATACACACTATCAGCACCTGTGACACCCTCGTATTGAAAAAATGAGCACAGAAAAGCCGACCACCAATGACGTTTGCCGGGCCTATTTTCCGGTTCCCCTCCCTTCCAGCCCCATCTGGAGTTGAACTTTTGCTTATCTTACTCTACACTTTTTTCTGCTTTAAATGCAATAGACGTGTTGCGCTATGCAAAAATGCCACTTTTTTCGCACGTACTAGGTGCTATTTGATCTGAAAACTCCAACGGTGAAAAAATCAGTTTGATTCGTGAAGTTTAAATGCCTTAAAAATCGGTTTAAACGTCAATTATTATCACGTGACTAAATAACGAGCGTTGATTGGTCGTGACGTCACGATTCGTATCCAGCGAGCCCGTGAAGGTTGGCTGCATTATGTTAGTGTTGGTCGGCGGACGAAGGTGAATCTTTGTGGAAGAAAGATGGTAGGTACCTACAAAGCAAAATAAGTGGTGTATTACTCCAGGATGTACTAGTAGGTACTTCATCCTCAACACCTGATAAAGTGTTTGTTAACCCGCGCACCGACGGGGTTCGCGCCAACTTACAACCGACGGGGGGGGGGAGGGCGGATGACCCCCCTGAGATCTCGAGAACGAAGCAAGATAGCGACAAGCGGTAAACGGCATTGGGTACGCACGGACAAGGTCTACAATTTTTACGTAAGTCATTTTCAGGTCAGGTCAAATATGACGTCACAGGGGTCAAAAAAGTCAAAATGGCGGCGCTACATATGGATAGTTTTTCTCGAATAACTTTCGAATTAGGCAAGCTAGGAACAAACTAAGGGCACCATCGTGATCCTCTTGCCAATCGGTATCGAACCATATGTATGTTGACCTCGAAAGGTCAAGGTCAAAGGTTGACCTCAGGTCACGTGACCTCGAGGTCATCATTCGATGCGCCTTGGCGAGCTAAACACAATGAGACCATCCGCACGGCTGTATCCGGTTTCTGTAAGGAGTCATTGGCAGAAAACCTTTGGTGACCTTTGATGACGTCACATGACCTTACAGCTGCCCAACAGCAAAACAGGCTTCAAGGTAGTGAAGGACAAGGTTGATCGTATATGAGGTCGTTTATGGTATATGTGGCCATTCCGACGCGTTTTAGTGAAAAAAAAAACAGGGAGCTGATTTTTCCCCCATTGACTTATAATGGGTTGACTTAAAATAATATAATAACACTTCAGTCAAGGCGACGACGTGGAACCAGCTGGCAGCTACCGAGGACTTACTGCGTGCGCGCGCGGCGCAGTTCGACGTGCACAGTCGCACGCCAAAACGCCTCATCCCTCGCTAATAGCCCTCGACAGTACCTACATCTCGTCATAATCAACACCGATCGTGACTTGCCTATTGGTTTCGAAGGACGGATCAGCCACACAGAAGTATGCCATTTTGCACTGCGGCTTCAGCATCAACAACTGGATCTGTGCCACATGTTTCTGCGCGTTGATCTTTCTAGAATCATTGCTGCCGATGTACCTACGCAGTGTTTTGTCAGACGAGGGACACTTCACCCCGACTATACTACCACTGGCGTCTGGCAGTTACCTCGTTTGGCGAAGCAGCGAACGCAGGATGTTCACCGCTGCTAAGAATGCAATGCTAGAGCTGGCGATCTTTTCGCCCAGATGCTTTTCTACTTCCCTTATCACTAAAGGCTCTAGCCTTCGGCCACGCGCCATCGCTGCAGTGTCCTCCACCTTTGCAGCACCGAGGATACCTAACCCAAAGAGCCATTGTTCTTTTGGCAGTGAGCCACCCCGTGCGCTTTGGACGCCGTAACGCGGCCAAATGGCACAGCGTGCCACAGAGGACACTTCCCCTGCCCCTTGGTCGCCTCACGCACTGCTGACTGCAGCACACAGAGCCGGAGTCATCCTACTTCTACAGTAGTCTTGGAATCCATCACAGCTGTTCCACTTCGCTCGTGGGGCGCGTGGAGAGCGGACGTGCCTTGGCGGAGGACGAATTTGAGACGAAAGCGGCGCTGAGTTTTCTGCATAGTTTAATTTGAGTTTAATATTATTTTCCCTTGTCTTTTCTTCTGAGGTAGGGGTTTAAGGGCCCTGTCCTCATTTTGGTCAACTTTTTTTTGTTTCCTTTCCATATCTAAATTGGGTTGATAGGCAATTTTCTTTCGATCACTAACTTAATTCTCGCTTGAAAATCTTGGGTGTTTGGGATGGGTGCTAGAATGGAGGACGTGTCAAAGATGATAGAAGAAGCAGTAAAAAAGTCACTGATTTTCTGAAGGCAGACTTTGAAAAAAGTATGTCTGCCATGAGGTCCGAACTTGAAGCCCTTAAGGCCGAAAACATAGAACTGAAAACAAGAGTGATTAGCACTGAGAGGGCAGTAGAAAAAAATGAACAGTACAACAGGAAAAGTACTCTTATTCTGGGGGGAGATGGGGTGCCACTCCCAAAAAAGGAACAGGAATCAACTTCTGAAACTAGAGCCATGGTAGCAAAAATCATCAAAGACAAACTCAATGTGAACATGCAAGGAGCCATCGTGGCTTGTCACAGGCTAAAAAACAAAAAAAGAGTTCTGGTCAAGTTCCAGGACCATGATGATCGGGAGGCGGTCTACCAGGCCCGGTTTGAGCAGCCCCGAGACACAAAAGACAAGGTGATAATTCACGAAAACCTCACTGAAGCTAGGGCCGCCATGATCAGGCGCCTGGGCCAGCTCAGAGAAAAAAATCAAATAGTGAACTACCACACCAAAAACGGATCCATATATGCCAGGAGCTCCAAGGACAACAAATATTCCCTCATCGAACATTGGCACACGGAACAGGAAATCCTTGAGCTGGTCCAGAGTGCTGGGAACAAGGGACCGGAATCACGGGACAACCTGATGAGGTCACAGACCCTTGAGAGCATTCCGCCGGGGCGGGTTGCAGGACGGGTGTCTGACCTGGCAGAATTTGTTGTGCCCAACCAGAGGCAGAGCAAACGTCAGCAACCAAAGAAACAACAGTAAAAGTCTCTGGATCAGCTGCTCTATGCATCATCTCATTCTGATTCAAATTTCAATTATCAGTTAATCTTGCACTATATTCATAAATAGGTCCCTCTGGGCTGGCTGGAATGTCTTTTCTGTTTCCTATGTTGCCCAACATAGACACATGTGTATTTTATACTTGTATAAGATACCTACCTGTTCTTGGTAAATGCTAGATTGGTATAAACAACTACCAAAGTCATTAATTTGAGTATGTTGTTACCTATGAAATGTACTGGCCTTAGGTAGCCTCACTTTATTGATAATGCAGGCGCTCTATCTATGCCCTAGATACAGCAGGCCCTTCAGCTTAACCACTGTTACCTAAATATTTACATAGGTACTTGTGAAGCTTCATCAAATAAGTTATCATACCTATATCTAGATTCTGGTGTGATATTGAGTGTTAGCTAACAGCTGTGACGTCACTCGGTCTCCTTGCTGGATATCTCCATCCCATGAAAAAACTTTGTGTTCTAATCATGTGAGATATTGACTCTCACCTCAGATTGACTCTGATGGGTGACAGAGAGGATGTGCTGACTCTCAATATCATTCTATGATGCCTATAAAGTATTACTTGTGATTGCAATGCAAGAACTTGTGTAGTGCAATTTTGCATTCACATTTTGCATGTTGTGCTTCCTAATGAAGCAAATTGAATGATGGATGGTGTGACTAGTATGAATGTTGAACCAGTGCCTTGGCACCAGGACCAGCAATGGACTCCTTTTTAACCTTGTGTGGATGGATGGATGAGCACCCCTGGTGCCTAGCCTTCATGGCTGTTTTACCAAGTTTTAATATGAATGGAGTGTCTGAGCACTGCAGTGAACAAAAGAATGAATGGACACTACAGTGCCTGGCTTGGCAGAAAAGCCATTTTATCCTTTTAATCTGTATGGGATGTGAATGAGCGCTTTGCGCCCAGGCCAGGCAGAATGGTCTTTTTATGAATGCTATAATGAAGAATGCATGTGATCGTGATGACTGTGCTACTGCTGTTACGTTGGACCTGAACAGGCCTAACTATTCAAAGGTTTGGCTGAGATGATTTGATGAGTTGGTTGAGATACATCCATAATCCATATCATTCATCAGAGTTCAGTTACTTAGTATAAACGATAATTCCATTTATATAACTGGAATGCTGATATCCTGCTGCTGACTGTCTTTCGTGCATGACGGCTGAGCAAGTGCTCATTGCCATTGAGCATAAGAGCTTGGCTTTGCAAGCTCAACTGTATTTCGCCCTAGTTCTTCACTGTATTGTTTCAGATCATTATTTTCCCAGCCAGCCCGGGGGTCCTGACCTGAATATGGTACTCAAAGCATTGGGTTCATCTCACCATTGTATGTTATGGTGCTGGCCTTTGCCCTGTCCCAGTTGGCTCGCGCGATGATCCTGCAGTGTCTGCCCCTTGGTCTCCCGTTGGTTACGGATGTTGTGGTCCATGAGTTTCCCTTTGTTGGTGATCTCGGGGCTGTCTGGTTGGGTACAGTGCGGCTGCGGGGTCGTGGCCGCTCTCGGTCTGGGGTCTTTTCCTTCTGGGTGGGCTGGCCCCGTCCGGCTCGGGGCCCTCCGGCCTGCCCGTGGCCGGCGGCGCCCTCGTGGTGCTGGCGCGCTGCGGGGGTGCCCCCCGCCGTGGACGGCTCCTGGGGGGCTGTGCGCCGGGTGGGGTTTGCGCGCCTGGGGGTGTTGGCTCCCGGGGCGGGGGCGGCCGCGATGCCGACGCTGTCGCGCGGGGCTGTTTTTT